GTATTAAGCCTAAATCTTTTCTTTAGACTAAAAGGGGAATTGTAGTGAGGTAGTCCTTCTGTAGCACTGACCACGCCCATTGGGGGGTGGAGCTATGGGCGGAGGTGACCTGAGGAAGGAGGTCGGAGGGGGCCAGGAAGGCGCTCTCTTTCTGGCGTGACTCGGACAGGAGAGGATCGGGTTGAATTTCCTGGTGTTCATCTGTCTAGGTTGTAAGTTATTTCTCCCTGAATAAACATCTATTCGGCTTATTTGTTTATCCTGATCCTTATTTACCGCAATATCTCACTGACCTTGAAAGGATAATAACCAACTTTATATGGAAAAACAAAAGGCCCAGGATAGCCAAAACAACCCTGTACAATAAAAGAACTTTAGGTGGCATCACCATCCCTAACTTCAAGCTCTACCCCAGAGCTATAGTCCTGAAAACAGACTGGTATTTGCACAAAAATAGACAAGTAGAACTATGGTAGTTTAATAAGGGTCAGGATAAACAAATAGGCTGAATAGGTGTTTATTTTTGGAGATCAGTATGGCAGTTCCTCAGGAAAATGGGAATCAGTCTACCACAGGCCCCAAAAATCCCACTATTAGGCATACACCCAAATGATCCACATCCACAAACCAAAGATATCTGTTCAACTATGTTGGTAGCAGCATTATTTGTAATAACATGGACCTGGAAGCACCTATATGCCCCTCAACTGAAGAATGGATAAAGAAGACGCCAAAAAGAGGAAAATGGCATGTTTCAATCATATATGGATTTAGACATACAGCAAAGGATCACCAGCCTATAATTCGCACTGCCAGAGGAACTAGGATACAAAGAGGATTATAAGAGATTCATATAAGGTCCCTCACAGAATGGGAAAGGGATAACAAGATCTCCAGAGCACATGGGGAGTAGGGGAGGGCAGTGAGTGGAGAGGGAACTAGGAGAAAGAGAAGGGGAGGAGAGGAAATCATGTGAGACTAGGAAGCTTGAGTCAGGGGAGGAATACAAGAGAGGAAGGATGAGAGAGAGAGAGAGAGAGAGAGAGAGAGAGAGAGAGAGAGAGAGAGAGAGAGAATAAAAGAGGGAGCCTTTGTAGGTTTGAAGAGAAAAGTGATCCTAGAGAAATGTCCAGAGACCTACAAGAATGACCCCAACTAACAATTTGAGCAACAGTGGAAAGTGGGAAAGGTACCATAAATTCCTTTTGTGATAATGAGATCAATGACTAATTTATCCACCATCATGGAGCCCTCATCTAGTAGCTGATGGAAACAGAAGCAAACACCCACAACTAAACACTGAGCCAAACTGGAATTCAGATACAGAGAGGGAGGACAAGACCAGGCTGCAGAAACACACAGAGACAGCTGACCTGAACAAGGAGGAGCTAATGGGCTCCCAGACTGATAGCTGGGAATCCAGCATGGGACTGACTCAGACCCCCTGAATATGGGTCTCAGCTAGAAGGCTTGAACAGTCTAAGGGACCTCAGACAGTGAGCCAGGATGTAGTCCTGGTACACAAAAGGACTTTGGGGCCACATCAGTTCCCCAAAGCAAGGAAGAAAAAAGACGTTTTTTGTTTAGACTTGTCCTAAGTTTGAAAAAGACTTTCAAATAGAAAGTATGGAAAAAGGAGGGAATACAGAATAGTAATTAACTGACAAGACTAGTAAACCCCACTGGAAAGACTGTTAAAAGAAAATTCTAGTAACAGATTGACAGATACTGTATGTACATATCAATGTACTCCATCAATAAATCACAGTGAAAGGAGCATAGGGTGAGGGGAATGAGATGCCCAAGGTATGACTCTGACACCCTTTTTGAAGGTCAAGCTATCTATAATCACAATACTTAATTGTTGACAGGAAAAGATGCCTAGTAAGGAGTACAGATGAAATAAATAGATTTGCATTGCTCTCCACATCCTGCATTACACAAGGCAAGGGAATGGGAACAAAATCAATGTTCCCTGCATCTTCTGGAGCACAGCATCTGAGTAGGGCATGCTGTTCCTGTCTTGTGTGCAGGGGCTCCAATGTCTGCCAATCACATATGCAATTTCTTTCTGAATTTTAGCCTTCAGAGCAGAGATCATGGTTTATATAAAATGGAAAAGAATTATCTTTTATATGATTCTTGATCGTTTTCAAGTTGTAGTAGGAAGTGGAGAGTAGAGGAAAACAAATTCCATCATTTCTACCAGATTAGAAAATCATGGTTTTATAAAATATAAAAAGAATTATCTTTTATATGATTGTTGATAATGTTAGTAAGATATCTGTTCTCCTATGTCTAGAATATTTCATCTTATATAATGATCTTCAACCCCATGTATTAGCTACAAATTACGTATTTATATTCTTCATTATATACAAATATAAAATTCCACTGTGAACATATAGCTCTGTTTCAAACTTGTATCCTTTTTCATTATTTTTACATATATTTATGTATATAAATATACATCTAAATCCCTAAAAACATACCTACAGACTGCTCTGTCTGTATAGAGTCACTTATATGTATTTTCAGGGCTGAGGTTTTGGTATTGGATGACAAATTGGTGTGCTCTTCTGTGAAGAAAATTATTTTTCCCATTCTCAATATTCCTTAGTAGTCTGTATTTCTTTGTTTATGGTTTAAGCCTCATGGTTAAGAAAATGATCTTGAAACCAGGTGGTGGCAGTGCATACCTTTAATCCCAGCACTTGGGAGGCAGAGAGAGTTAAAGTTAACTATGGTTTGGAAGTGCTATTTATATAACAACATATCATAGATACTTTTATAAACACTTAGGAGGGAGGGAGGGAGGGAGGAAAAGAGGGAGGGAGGAAAAGAATATGATTATGTCATTTCCAGGAATGGATAATTTAACTTCTTTCTTTTTAAAAAATTTACTTTACTGCCCTCTCCTCAATCCCTTAGTACCTGTAGTAGGTGAGAGCTGACCCCAGAGTCACAACAGTGAGAAAACTAGCTGTAACCCTCACCAGTTATAGCATACAGGAGAGAAGGCCTTGCACACCCCCCCCCAGAAAGCACACTAGAGCTGACCCTGTTATTGGGTGCACAAGTGAGCCAGTCCTGAGGGCATAAAAAGAGAGCTGATACCTCCACCTCTTTCCTATTCCCCTTACAGAAATTGAGAGAGAGGACATTGCATCTTCCCTGCACAAAACTGGCCCTAGTGTTGTGAATGTGGGTGATCCAGATCCCAGGGCCCAAGAGCAGGAAAACTGACCTCTCTCCTTGCTGCAGGTTGCATTGGTGAGCCAGCTGAGGCCATGCTGGAAGGCTTGCCTAAGCAGTGACAATAAGGGAAAGCTTGTGGGATAACAAACCCAACTACCACCCAGGATCAAAACAAGGGATATATGTCTTACGAGCAGTTTTTCCACCAGCCTGGTTCCAGAACTGCATCAATCCCAAATAACACACAGAGACGCTGTATTAGATATAAAACTGTTGGTCTGTTACTAGTGTTTCTTATTGGCTAGCTATGAGTTAAATATTAACCCATTTATATTTATATAAACCCAATTATATGTTTCCATGTGGTCTTATCATACCAGAGAGGGCGTTCGGATCTCTTCTCTCAAGTCCCTACATCTTGACTCTCCCAGACTTTCCCAGAATCCTCCTTGTCTCCTAATCCCACCTGTCTTGCTTTCCTATTGGCCAATAGAGCTTTAGTCATTAACCAATAAAAGAAACATATTTACAGAATGACATCTCCCATGAACTATATGTTGGTCCACCCAACATACAACTCATATATGAACTTTTGGAGCATGTTCAGGGGATAAACCTACAGATCCAAACCATCAGGATCTCTATGACACAGGACAGAAACAGGATGTCCCAAAGCAGCCCCAGTGGGAACCTGTTAGCAATGTCATAGCAGAAGCTAGGGTTCTTGAGCCAGACCAATGACTCATAGCAATGAACACTCACAAGTAAAGATGAATGAACTATAGAGTGTATAGGTTTAATGTAATAACAGTCAGTATTTCAAAAAATAACAGTTTCTATTTACTGTTGAGTAGTCATTGCACAGCTAAAAGACCACTTACAGAAACAGTATGAAGTCATTAAAGATATATGGCTATAGTAACATATGAAGGCAATATCACAAAACTAATCTAAATATCATTAAATAGGGAAATGTATTTAAATAGGAAATAAGTTTGAAAGTTATGGAATAGCCAAACAGTAAGATATTATGAGTTATGTTTATGTGTTTATAAAAGTATCTATGATATGTTGTTATCTAAATAGCACTTCCAAACCATAGTTAACTTTAAACCTACATATGCAGATATTTTTGTTTGTATGTATGAGGTTATGTGGAATCATATGTAGAGTGTGATAGGGTAGCTTTGGAAGAAGATAAGGAAAGGGTATCCTCGGAAACTGGGAAATTCAAGGGTTATCTCATGTTACTCTCCTTGGCAGGCATGATCTTCCATTACTATATCTCTCTGTGCATACACACACATCTGCCTGTATATTTACATACCTAACCATGAATATCACTTATAAAAATATACACATATAATCATACTTTAAAATTTTATGGAGAAAAGACAAGATGTATAGATGATACTGTCAAGAGATTATTCTACTAGACAGCAGCAAAGCAATGAATGAGTCAGTTCCATGGTTGATTAGTTTCCTTGAAAAATCACAGCATAAGTTCTATTTGCTAACTCTTACTAAAACAAGACATGAGACTAATAATGCACTTTCCATTTGGAATGCACTTACATGAAAATGTAACTAATGAGCTGACACACACTGCAACAAAAATTTTATTAGTGCTGAATCAGTAAGGCTTTTTTTTTTTCATATGTGGAAATTAGAACCATCTCATAAAGAATAGAGAAAATGTTAGGTAGCATGTCCGCCATTAAGAAGAATTGCAGGGTACAGGTACATAGGATACAAAACACCCTGTTTGCTCCCAAGTAAAAGCAGGTATCAGTTATATATGACAAAGACTACCCAGGTCAGACTGGAATGAAACAAACTTCATAGGTTGGAGGGAGAGCCAATAGGCCAGTGTGAGCTGGGCTAGTATCAATGTCCTCTGGATTGACCAGAGGTTTTAAAGTAAAATGCTGTAAAATGTTGGTCAGGATTAAAAACATCTCCATGCGGGCCAGACCTTCTCCAATACATGCTCTTCTTCCTAAAAAAAAAAAAAAAAAAAAAAAAAAAAAGAGACATGGCATGGTAAGTCATTTAATTCTGACTCTGAGTTAACACACAGACTACATGTCAATGAATGACTAATTAACCCAGATTAATTACCCAACAACTGACTGTATTTTTGCACTGTCCTGATTTCTTCCCTGACCTTCCATTCTAGGAACAGATTTTGTCTCATATCAACCATTTGGCGGGGAGCATTTCACATTTTTATGTTTCATAAATTAGTAATATATTTATATCATTTTCATCCTCCCCAGTCACACTCCCCCACTCACACTCAAATCCATGACTATTTTAATTCTTCTTTTTTTTTTTCTCTGAGACAGTGTTTTTCTATGAAATAGCCCTGGTTCTCCTAGAACATGAATTTCCAGTGGAGGAAATTCTGCCTTAACAAGAGAGGTCCAGTCCCACCTGGTTCCTGGTCCATTGCAGCCTACTTGCTTGTGTCAGTTTTGAGGAATTTTCCATTCTCTGCCACTTCCTCTGTTCCCATGGGAACAGTCTCTTTCTTTTTAATCATGTTAGTCATCATTTTAACATTTAGTCATCCCTTAGAATGGATCAATGTTTCTTTTCTGAGACCCTTTCCAATTGAAAGAAGGCATTTAAATGGCACTACTTCCTGAAAGCAATTTCTCTTGCAGTCTGACCATTTAGCCTGCTGTCCTTCAAAAACACTGTAACCTGCTCTTTCTGGGCTCCCCTGGAGAACTTGAGAATAGAACATTTGCACAAGCTAGTGTCTTTTCCTATTCATTCATCCTTCATTTCTTTCACACACTGCACCCCTGCATCTGAGCACTGAGTTGCTGTATGTAAGATATTCCTTGGGTCCACAGTGACCTGGATCCTCTGGGTGGAAAGAAACCTGTCAGAAAAATAGGATTTCTTTCAGAACTGACTCTTGAGAAGTTCAGCCCAGGGTTGGGGAGCAGAAGCAGTGTATGAAGCTTCTAATCCAATGAGAAGAGCCTTCATCATAGGATTGCTGCTCTGGCCTCGCCTCATGGAGATGGCCATTCATGGAACACACAAGAGCCTTCATGCACAGCTCTCCTCTCCTCACCTGGACCCTGACCCATATGGAAATTCAGCTTGCTTGCCTGCTGAGAAAACCATGAAGTGGTCACTCTTCTTGAAGTTGCCTTTCTCATCCAGAAAGTGACCAGGGTCAAACTTCTCCGGGTAGGGAAATTCTTTTTCATCATGTAGGACAGAAGTCAGACATGTCATTACACATGTGTCCTGAAAGAAAAAGAACAAAAATCATATATGAAGGAGGTCTCAAAACCTGAAAAAAAATTAGATGTCTCTCATTTGATCTCTTTGAGGCCAAAAAAAAAGTCATTTGTTCCATGTCAAAGAACACATCAATGCCAGGCTTAACTGATCTTCCAGCCCACCATCACTGCTTTGTGGTCTGATGTTGGGAGCTTGCAGAATTAAAGAAGCATTTAGCAGTGTCATCCCACAGGACAATGCCATTGAAAATTTATCACAACTTGGTGGAAAAGGAGATTGAAAGATTGTAAGAGCCAGTGGGTGCAGAAAAAACCCAAGTCACAGCTGCCTTGTCTGCAGTGCAAAGGCCAGCCCCCATGCACATGGAAGGCAGGGACTTCCTCTCTGAGCCAAGCCAACCAACTCTGCCTCAATTCCCAGATACTGCTGACAAAGAGGCACCTGACCCAGAGACACCAATGAAGAAAGGACATACTGCAGAGTCAGCCAAATGAGCCCATAGGACCTTGGGAAGCGGTATATGAAGTCACAGAGACTGTGGCAGCATGCACAGTACCTTCAAAAGTACAGATGAGTTCTCACACTGAGAGTATAAGGAGACACAAGCCCCAATACCTAATGCAGAAGCCATCTCTTGCCTTAGCAGCCACTCACTTAGGAAAAATTAGATTTCTTCAGCAGTCTCCAGGAAACGAACCACACTTTAGGTAGTAGATGGCCAACACAAAAGGAACTTTGGTGTTTGGAAAAAGGCTTTGTTTGTTTGTCTGTTTCTTCTATTAGTATTTATGTATTTTATTTTTGCTTATTTTACATGTCAATACCAGTTCCCTCTTCCTCCCTCCCATCCCCCCCCGACCAGCCCTCCCCCACCACCACTAAATAGGTAGGGTGATGCCTTCCAGGGGGAAAAATCAAAATCTGTCAAGTCATTTGGAGTAAGGTCTAGGCCATCCCCCCTGCCTCTAGAATAAGAAAGTATCCCTCCACGGGGAATGTGCTCCCAGTCCGTTCATACAGCAGGGATACATCCTATTTCCACTGTCAGAGGGCCTTTAGTCTGCACAGGCCTCCTAACTCAGACCCACGTTCAGGGGATCTGAGTCGGATTAATGCTGGTTTCCCAGATATCAGTCTGGGGGTCCATTAGCTCCCCCTTGTTCAGGTCAGCTATTTCTATGGGTTCCCGTAGCCTGGTCTTGAACCTTTTTGTAATCACTCTTCCCTCTCTGCAACTGAATCCAGGAATTTGGCTCAATGTTTAGCTGTGGGTTTCTGCTTTTGTTTCCATCAGCTGGTAGATGAGGGCTCTATGAGGACACATAAGTTATTATCAATCTCAATATCAGGGAAGGGAATATAAGGTAGCCTTTCCACTGTTGCTCATATTGTTAATTGGGGTCATCCTTGTAGGTCTCTGGACATTTCTTTACAGTCAGTTGTCTCTTTGAACCTATAATGGCTCCCTTTATTGTATTCCATTGTGTAGATGTGCCACATCTTCTTTATCCATTTTTCAGTTGAGGGACATCTAGGTAGCTTCCAGTTTCTTGCTATTACATATAATGCTGCTATGAACATAGTTTAGCATATGTATTCGATGTATGGATGTGGATCATTTGTGTATATGCCTAAAAGCAGGATTGCGAGGACCTGTGGTAGACTGATTTCCATTTTCCTGAGGAACTGCCATATTGATCTCCAAAATGGCTCTACAAATTTGCACAGCCACCAGAAGTGGAAGAGTGTTCCCCTTTCTTCACGTATTCTCCAGCATAATCTGTCAGTGGGGTTTCTAATTATGGCCATTCTGACAGGAGTAAGATGGTATCTCAGAGTTGTTTTGATTTGCATTTCTCTGATGGCTAAGGATGTTGAGCACTTTCTTAAGGGTCTTCTATATTTTGGAGATCAGTCCTCTGTCAGATGTGGGGTTGGTGAAGATCTTTTCCCAGTCTTTGGACTGCAGTTTGGTCTAGTCAACTGTGTCCTTTGCCTCACAGAAGCTTCTCGGTTTGAGGAGGTCCCATTTATTAATTGTCGATCTCAACATCTGTGATACTGGAGTTTTGTTCAGGAAGCAGTCTCCCGTACCAATTTGTTCTCTTCTAAGAGTTTCAGTGTAGCTAGTTTTATGTTGAGGTATTTGATCCATTTGTACTTCAGTTTTGTGCATGGCAATAGACATGGGTCTATCTGCAGTCTTCTACACAACATCATCCAGTTGTGCCAGCACCATTTGTTGAAGATGCTTTCCTCCTTCCATTGTATAATTTTAGCTGTTTTGTCAAAAATCAGGTAGTCATAAGTGTGTGGGTTAATATCAGGATTTTCAATTCAATTCCATTGATCTACCTGTCTATTTTTGTTCCAATATCAAGCTGTATTCAGGACTATAGCTCTATAGTAGAGCTTGAAGTCAGGGATGGTACAGGGTTGTTTTCACTATCCTGGGTCTTTTGTTTTTCCATATAAAGTTGAGTATTATCCTTTCAAGGTCTATGAAGAACTATACTGGGATTTTGATGGGGATTGCATTGAATCTGTAGATTGCTTTTTTGAAGTCAGGGATGGTACAGGGTTGTTTTCGCTATTCTGGGTCTTTTGTTTTTCCATATAAAGTTGAGTATTATCCTTTCAAGGTCTATGAAGAACTATACTGGGATTTTGATGGGGATTGCATTGAATCTGTAGATTGCTTTTGGCAAGATCGCCGTTTTTACTATATTTATCCTACCTAACCAAGAGCATGAAATATCTTTCCATTTTCTGGTATCTTCTTTAATTTCTTATTTTAAAAACAAAGTTCTTGCTATATAGGTCTTTCATTTGTTTGGTAAGTGTTACCCCAAGATACTTTTTTTTTTTTGTGGCTATTGTAAAGGGTGATGCTTCTCTGATTTATTTCTCAGTGTCTGCATATACTAGGGCTACTACTTTTTGTTTTTGTTTTTGTTTTGCTTTGTTTTGTTTTGTTAACCTTATTTCCTCCTAAGTTACTGAAGGAGTTTATTAGCTATTGAAGTTCCCTGGTAGAATTTTTTGGGTTACTTATGTAAACTATCCTATCATCTGCAAATTGTGACACTTTGACTTCTTCCTTTCCGATTTGTATCTCCTCGATATCCTTTTTTTTTTTTTTTTCTTTTTGTCTTATTGCTTAAGCTAGAACTTCAAGTACAATACTGAAGAGATATGGAGAGAGTGGGCAGCCTTGTCTTGTTCCTGATTTTAGAAGAATCACCTTAAGCTTCTCTCCATTCAGTTTGATGGTAGGTGTTGGTTTACTCTATATTGCTTTTCTTATATTTAGGGATGTTCCTGTTATCCCTGATCTCTCCAGGACCTTTATCATGAAAAGGTGTTGAATTTTGTAGAAGGTCTTTTCAGCATCTAGGGCGATGATCATGTGATTTTTCTTTTTCAGTTTGTTTGTATGGTGGATAACGTTGATAGATTTTCATATGTTAAACCATCCCTGCAACTCAGAGATGAAGCCTACTTACTTACAGTGGATAATTTCTCTGATGTATTCTTGGATTCAGTTTGCCAGTATTTTATTGAGTAGTTTTCATCAATGTTCATGAGGGATATTGGTCTGTAGTTTTCTTTCTTAGTTGTGTCTTTGTATGGCTTATGTACCAAGCTGATTGTAGACTCATAAAAAGAGTTTGGTAATGAACCTTCTGTTTCCATTGTGTGGAACAATTTGAGGAGTATTGGTATTAGCTCTTCCTTGAATTTCTACTAAAATTCTGTGATGAAGCCATTTGGCTATGGGCTTTTTTTGGTTGGAAGGCTTTTGATGACTGCTTCTATTTCGTTAGGGGTTATAGGTCTATTTAAGTTGTTTGACTGCTTTTGATTTAATTTTGGTAAGTGATAGTTATCCAGAAATTTGTTCATATCCTTTGAATATTCAAATTTTGTAGAGTACAGGTTTTTAAAGTATGACCTGAAAATTGTCTGGATTTCTTCTGTGTTGATTGTAATGTCCTCCTTTTCATTTCTGATTTTATTAGTTTGCATGTCTCTCTCTCTGCTTTTTGGTTAATTTGGATAAAGGTTTGTCTATCTTGTTGATTGTCTCAAAATACCAACTCTTTGTTGCATTGATTTTTTTTGTATTGTTTTCCTGGTTTCTGCTTTATTGATTTCAGCCCTCAAATTGATTATTTCCTGGCATCTACTCCTCCGGGGTGAGTTTGCTTCTTTTTTTCTAGGGCTGTCAGTTGTACTGTTAATTTTCTAATGTGATTATCTTATGTTTTCTTCATAATGGACTTAGTGCAATGAACTTTCCTCGTAGCACTGCTTTCAAGGTGTCCCATAAGTTCAGGTATGTTGTGTCCTCATTCTCATTGAATTTTAGAAAGTCCTTAATTTCATTCTTTATTTCTTCTTTGACCCAGGTATGGTGCAATTGCACATTGTTCAGTTTCCATGAGTTTGTAGGTTTTCTGCAATTTGTAGTGTTGTTCAATTCCAACTTTAAAGCATTGTGGTCTGATAAGATACAGTGGACTATTCCAATTCTTTTGTATCTGTTGAGTCTTGTTATGTTGCCCAGTATGTGGTCAGTTTTAGAGAAGGTTGCATGTGGAGCAGGGAAAAAGATATATTCTTTTGAGTTTGGATGAAATGTTCTATAGATGTCTGTTAAATCAAATTGAGACATAACTTCTGTTAGTTCTTTTGTTTCTTTGTTGAGTTTCTGATTGGTGGTCCTGTTTAGTGGTGAGAGTGGTGTGTTGAAGTCTCCCACTATAAGTGTATGAGGTTTTATGTGAGGTTTGAGTTTTAGTAGTGTTTCTTTTACGAATATGGGTGCTTTTGTATTTGGGGCATAGATGTTCAGGATTTCTCCTGTGATGAATAAGAAATAACCACCTTCATCTCTTTTGATTAATTTTGGTTTGAAGTCTAACTTGTTAGATATTAGGATAGTCACACCTGCTTGCTTCTTGGGTCCATTTGATTGGAAGATCTTCTCCCACCCTTTACCCTGAGGTATTGTCTGTCTTTGAAGCTTAGATGTGATTCCTGTATGCAGTAGAAGGATGAAGATGGATTCTGTCTTCATATCTATTCTGTTAACATTTGTATTTTTATAGGTGAGTTAAGACCATTAATGTTGAGGGAAAGTAAGCACCATTGGTTGTTAATGTCTGCTTGTTTTAGATTTGTTGTTGGCGGTGGTATTGTGAATATATTTGCCCTTCTTTACTCTTGGGTTCTGGTGAAGTGGGATTATCTATTGCCTATGTCTTTGTGAGCATAGTTAACTTTTGGGTTGGAGTTTTCCTTAGATACGTATTGTAAAAATCTGGCTTTGTCATTAAATATCTTGTTTTCTCCAGGCTGTGTATAGTAGCCTGGTCTGGCATCCATGGACTCTTAGGTAGAACATCTATCCAGGACCTTCTGGCCTTGAGAGTTTCCATGGAGAATTCAGGTGTAATTTTGATAGGTCTGCCTCTATATGTTACCTGGCCTTTTTCCTTCACTGCTCTTAATATTCTTTCTTTATTCTGTATGTTAGGTGTTTTGATTATTAGTGTTGAGGGGTGCTTTTTCTTTGGTTCAGTCTATGTGGTGTTTGGTATTCTTCTTGTACTTTCATGGGCATGTCCTTCTTCAGATTGGGAAAGTTTTCTTCAATGATTTTGTTGAATATGTTTTCTGCACTTTTGAGCTGGGCTTCTTTGCCTTCCTCTATGCCTATTATTCTTAGGTTTGGCCTTTTCACGGTGTTACACATTTCCTGGATGTTTTGTGTTAAGGATTTGTTGGATTTACATTTTTCTTTGGTTGATGAATCTATTTCCTCTAGTTTATCTTCAGCACCTGAGCTTCTCTCTTCCATCTCTTGTATTCTGTTGGTTATGCTTGTGTGTGCTTCCCAATCATTTGCCCAGTTTTTCTATTTCCAGAATTCCTTTAGTTTGTGCTTTCTTTATTGTCTCTATTTCAATTTTCAAGTTTTGAACCATTTCCTCCACCTGTTTAATTGTTTGAGGGTTTTTTGTTTTGGTTTGGTTTGGTTTGGTTTTTGGTTTTTTGGATTTTTTGGGTTTTTGTTTGTTTTTTTTATTTTTTGGCTTTCTGTATTTTCTTTAAGAAATTTGTTTATATCTTCCAATTTTTTGTTTGTTTTTTCTTCCATTTCTTTAAGGGATTTTCTCACATAGTCTTTGAGGGCCTCTCATTTTTATGACAGTATTTTTTAAGTTGTTCTCTTCTGCTTCATCTGCTTTGGGGTATTCAGGTCTAGTTGGCATAGAGTCCCTAGATTCTGGTGGTATTATGCTTGTCTTTCTATTGTTAGGTGTTTTCTTGTATTGTCGTCTTCCCATCACTTCTTCCAGTAGGTGTAGCTGGGGTCTCTCCCTCTCTCTATGGTACTCTCCCAGTGGGCTTAGGTGGGTCAGAAGTTCGATATCTGTAGCTCTGGTTGGTCCAAGCTCTCTAGGAGGTCTCTCCTCAGGCAGGGACCCAGCGATGGGGGTCAAAGATCAGGCTCCAGCAGAGACCCAGCAATGGGTGTCAAAGATTCCTCAGGCTGGGACTCAGCATGTTCCTCTAGTAGAGGCCTGGAGATGGAGGGGCTGGGGGAAGGGGTCATAGATCCTGCAGACTGGGACTCAGGATGTTCCTGCATGGATAGGTGGAGCTAGCTGGGGCCTGACTCTCCAGCTGAGGCCTCTCCAGCAGAGGTCTGGCTATGGGGGGGAGGGGGTCAGAGATCCAGTAGTCTGGGACTCAGGATGGCACTGAGGTGATAGGCAGATCTCTGGGAGGGGCCCTGAAGTCCAGTAGAGGACCAGAGGTGGCAGTCAGAGACCAGGCAGGTAAGGATTCCGGATGGTGTATGGAGAAGGGTACTAGGACTGTACTATCCTGGGTTAGGATAATGGGGGAAGCTAGTTGCAGAGCTAACCCAGAGAGTTCCCAGGGAAGGTTTTTGGGGCAATTTGGCCTGAAATTGTCCCAGACTCACCTCTGGCAGTGGGCAGGGAATGAGGTCCAAAGATCAGGTGGGTGGGGCCTCAGGGTGTTTCAGTGTGGATAGGTGGGTCCATTGCGCTCAGAGCAGACCCAGAAAGTTCCACCCTTATTTTTGTTGTTGTTTATTAATGCTTTTTTTGGAATTTTTTTTACTTTTATTATATATTGAATATACTTCTCAGTATATATCAAGGAAGAGGAAAGACATTGTAAGACTGAACTTATTCTAAGTAAGTCAAACAGAAAGTATGGAGGGAGGTGGGAATATGGAATTGTGGTTAATTAACAAAAGTAGTAAAAACTCACTGGAAAGCAAGGATGTGGACAGCAGATTGCATTAACAGACAGGAAGGATATGGACATATCAATGTAGACACAATCATGTTAGAAAACCATATCAATAAAATACAGACAAAGGAGCAGAATGTGAGGGGGCTAAGATGACTGGTGTATAATTCTAGCACCCTTGGGGAAGGTCAGGCTTTATGTAATCACATTACTTATCTGACAGGCAAAGATGCCTGGTGAGGAACACAGATGAAACAGATCTCACCTTGGGAATGTGGTACCCTCTGAATTCCACATCCTGTGTTGTTTTACGAGGCAAGGGAATGGGAACAAGGTCAATGTATCTCTGGATCTCATGAAGGACAGCATCAGTGTAGGGCATGTGGTTCCTGTCCTGCATGCAGGGGCTCCGATATCTGCCAACCACACGTGCAATTTCTTCCTGAATTTTAGCTTCCAGGGCAGAAATCACAGTTTTTATAAAATGGAAAAGAATTATCTTTTATATGATTCTTGATCATTTTCAAGTTGTAGTAGGAAGTGGAAAGTAGAGGAAAACAAATTCCATCATTTCTACAAGATTAGAAAATCTAGTACACAGATGAGAGTATTATAAGTATGAGACACTAGTATCTACATAAAATGCTTAAAGACTATAAAAAACTTTAAGCAAAGCACCAGTATAGAAAGTCACATATAAAATCAATACTTTTTCCACATACCAATAACAAACATATTGAGAAGTAAATTAGTAAAATAAACACATTCACACAAGACGTGCAATGAGGAAAAATAAGACAGACTATCCAATAAATGGTGTTGGCTAAACTGTATATTTATAGTAGAATGAAATTACATCCATGTCTTTCACTCTATATAAAAATCGATTCAAAGTAGGTATAGGTATAGGAAGGAACTCTCTGAAAAGAGTTCTGAGAGCAGGGCATTGGCCTCAAGAATTAACATAAGGGATCAAATGTAATCAAATGATTCTGCATAGCAAAATAACAATAATAATAATAACAATAATAATAAGAGAGTGAAGCAGAATTCCCAGAATGTCATAAACTCTTAGCCAGCTATCTTTCAGACTAATACTCAAAAAATTACAAAGAATTGTAAATATTAAACACATACAAAAATTCTGCCAATTAGCAAGTGGACAGATGAAATGAATAGAGTTTTCATAAGAAGAAACAGAAATGGATAAAAAATATTTGTTTAGGTGATCAGCATCATTAGTTATTAGGGAAATGTAAATTAAAATTACTTTGAGATTAACATGTCATCCCAGTCAACATGGCTATAATTAAAGAATCTGACAACAAATACTGCTCTGGATGTGGGAAAAAAGGACCCTTTTCACTGCTGATGGAAGTGCAAATTAGTACACCCATTATGGAAATCATTATGGTGGCTCCTCAATAAGTTAAAAAGAGATCTACCACATGACTACCCCTAGGCATATACCCAAGAAGCCCATATGCTAACACAGACACATTTATACATTCTTGCTTATTGATAGCAAAAAAAGGAACCAGCCTAGATATCAATAATCAACCAGTGAATAGATGATGAAAATTAGTTACATATACAGAATTAAAGTTTTCAGCTGAAAAAAAAAAAGACAACCCTAAGTTTGATTATTTCCTGGATGAGTTTGCTTCTTTTTGCTCTAGAGCTTTCAGATGTGTTGTTAAGTCGCTTATGTGAGATTTCTCCAAATTATTTATGTAAGCACTTGATGCTATAAACTTTCTTCTAAGTAATGTTTTCATTGTGTCCCATAAGTTTGTGTATGTTCTGGACTCATTTTTATTGAATTCTAGGAAGTCTTTAATTTCTCTATTTATTTCTCCCTTTACCTAGTTGAGAGTTATTCAGATTCCATAAGTTGTAGACTTTCTATAATTTATGTTGTTATTGAACTCTAACTTTAACTCATGGTGGTCTGATGAGATACTAGAGGCTATTCCAATTATTTTTATATCTGTTGAGATTTGCTTTATGATGGAGTACGTGGTCAGTTTTAGCAAAGGTTCCATGAGATATATTTGAGTGAAATGTTTTGTAGATGTCTATTAAGTCCTTGAGTTGGTTCCCTTTTTCTCTGTTAAGTCTCTGCCTGGCACACCTATCCACAAGTGAGAGTGGGGTGTTGAAGTCTCCCACTATTAATGTGTGGGGTTTGATGTGTGATTCAAGCTTAAGTAATGTTGTTTTACAAATGTGGGTGCCCGTGTATTTGGGGCACAGATGTTCAGAATTGAGACTTCATCTTGATGGATTTTTCCTTTGATTAATATAAAATGGCCTTCTCCATCTCTTCTGGTTAAGTTTACTTTGAAGTCCATTTTGTTAGATATTAGGATAGCTACACCAGCTTGCTTCTTAGATCCATTTAATTGTAAAACCTTTTCCCAACCGTTTAATCTGAGGTGATGTCTGTCTTGAAGTTGAGGAGTGTTTCTTCTATGGAGGAGAAGGATGGATCCTATTTTCATATCCATTCTTTTAGCATGTGTCTCTTTATTGGCAGATTGAGTCCATTGATATTAAGAGTTGTTATTGATAAGTGATTTTTAATTCCTATTATTGCTTGGTTTGAGTGGTGGTGGTGTATGTGTGTTTCCATTCTTTTGGTTTTGCTATTGAGAGATTAACTATTGCCTGTACTTTTGTGGATATAACTGATATATATATATATATATATATATATATATATATATCTTCAAATAATTTATGTGTTGCTGGATTTGTGGATAGATATTGTTTAAATCTGGTTTTGTCATGAAATATCTTGTTTTCTCCATCTACATATGGGCCTGAAGGAGGAAAAGAGGCTTGGGTAAGGCTACAAGGAAGGAACAAAGGACTTAATAAATAGGACTCTAGTCTCTCATGAATTAATAAAAACATCACGAAACTAAAAAGCCGCTTTATAGCAAAGAAAATGGTCAATCAAATGAAAAGGCAGTTGACAGAATAAGAGAAAATCACTTTCATCTACACATCTGATGCAGAATTGATATCTAGAATTGATATCTAGAATATAAACACAAAACTCTAAATATAAAACAAACAATTCAATCAAAACATGGGCTATAGTTCTAAACAGGGTTTTTTAAAAATGAAGCACAAGTGACTTGTGAACATTTTATCAAGTATGGTATGGTAGTTTGGATGATAATTGCCCCCCATAGACTCATAGGAAGTGGCATTATTGGAGTGTGACCTTATTGAAGTAGCTACAGTCTTATTGGAGGAAGTTTGTCACAGCAGGTATGCTTTGACAATTCAGAAGCTCAAACTAGGTTCTCTCTTCCCATCACCTAACATCCAAATGTAGAGCTCTTAACTACATCTTCAGAACCATGTCTGCCTGTATGCCACCATGTTTTCTACCATGATGATAATGGACTAACTCTCTAAAATGTAAGCCAGCCCCAATTAAATGTGTTCCTTTATAAGAGTTGCAGTGGTAATGGTGTCTTTTCACAGCAATATAACCCCTATGACACATAGCCATTTCACTCTTGAACTGTCGGCAACCATAAAACATCTATACAAGACTACAAGACTGATCTATCCCATAAACCTTCCCTCATTGAGAGAGGAGAGTTTCACAAGAACCAAAACCTTCCTAAGGTTCTATGGGGAGTTAATATTTCCTGGGATGTAAAAAAAAAAAAATATCCTAAGTAATGTAGCCACTAGTTAACTGTTGATAATCCAGTAAATAAACCTAATTAAAATATGGGTTTATTGGGAGAAAAAAAAGACATGAAAGTAAAAACAGGACCAGTTTGGAAGAGAAAGGGGGTTACTGGAAGAGAGGGGGAGAGAGAAGAGCGGGGTATAATAAAAATAATAATATATGTATGAAAATGTTGTAATGAAACACATCATTGTCTAAATTAATATGTGCTAAGAAAAGTTTAAATGATATAAACTTTCTGGAAAGTAAATAAATATGCATTATGATGTAGGATAAAATGTGAGAGGAGGCTAATTTTATTCAGACTCTAAGGAAGCTATTATGTATTTGTCCTAACCCAAATCAAGGACTCTGAATCATAGAAGGGAGAAGAGTGGCCACTGACCTTCCATTCCCTAATGCAGCTGAAATATTTTTTTTTCTTTATTATGATCTAGTTTGAACTGAATTCATCCAGTGGGAGATAAATACAGTAATGCAAATGTTGCTAGTACCAAGTCTATTCTAGTATGACAGTCTCTAGTTCAATCTGCCCATTTCTACCTGGACATTGATCTGTCCATCTATGATCATACCTGTGACCTCAGGATGCTTCATCAGGAGCAAAAGCCCATATTTCATCGTGGTACTCGCTGTCTCTTTTCCCGCACTGAAAAGATCTGATATGGTGGCAACCAGGTTTTCCATGGTAAATTCTGACTTTTTATTCTGTTTTTCCTAACAATTATAGGTTATAGGAATTAGTTTTGCTTGTTTGCATTTTAGTTTGGTGGGGTTTTTTTTTGGGGGGGGGGGGAATCGAGGAACATTTAATATTTTTAAATTGACCACATGAATTACAAGACAAATAATACTACATTAATAATTCTCAAAAAGACAGGTTAAGTGATTACAAATAGAAAGGTAAATAATTAAATGTAAAGCAAACTTTGGTGTGTGTTTTAAAATATACCCATCAAAAGAACAGAAAACATCTTCCATATGAAATTTCCAAACTGCTTTAGTGTAGTGTAGTTCAAATCCCCATAAATGTACATCAAATACAACAGATATACTGCTTAACTCCATCTTCCTGTGTCTAATGATTATCTTTTGGAATCACAGCTGGCATAGAATCAGACTCTCTAGAAACAGTGTTCTGCTGAAGTCACTGGCTCTCACCATCTCAGAAGCTCCAAGCTGTGATGATTAGCTCCCATAAAATGCGAAAACTATAGAAACAATTTTATATGACATTGTTGTAATGAAAAACGTGTTACATTACATTATCACAATACATTTTTCCATTGATGGTTTTTAATTAATTTTTATTTAAATTAAAAGCTGATGGAAGCAGAAGAATAGATTCACAGTTAAGCACTAAGCTGAACTCATGGAATCCAATTGTAGAGAGGGAAGAGTGATGAGCAAAGAAGTCAAGACCATGCTTGGGGATCCCCCAGAAACAGCTGTCCTGACCAAGTGGGAGCTCAGTGACTGACCCCAATCTGGCAGCTGGGGAACCAGCATAAGACCGAATCAGCCCCCCTGAATGTGGGTGTCTGTTGGGAGACTTGGGCAGTCTATGGGGCCTCTGGTAGTGGAAACAGTATTCATCACCAGTGCAAGAATGAACTTTAGGAGCCCATTCCCTGTGGAGGGATGCTCTCTCAGCCCAGATACATGGCAGAGGTCCTGTCCCAAATGACATGACAGACTTTGATGATCCTCCATGGGAGTCCTCACCCTCCCTGAGGAGTGGATGGAGGGTGGGATGGTGGATGATGGAGGGAATAGGAGGATGAAATGGAGAGGAAACTGGGATTGGTATGTAAAATATCAGTTTTTAAAGGCTTACAGGTAACAAAATAATTCAATATGACGTAAGTACTTTGTAGATTAGCTAGACATTATAAACTGTTCTACCTAAAGATAAAGGTGGATGCTTGGTGACCCTTATGATTCCTTCACATGGTTAAAACATAAAGTTACAAAATTCCAAGTTTGTTCTTGTTCCTTGCTTCTTACACACTGGAGAAAAATCACTCACTGTTATGTTATCTTTTTTCAAATACAGTGTATACAAAAGCACTTACTGATACCATCAGTTCTAACAACTGTTGAACCTTTGTTACATTTAAAATCTCAGGGACTATACACATACAGACTCTGTTACTGTGTTTAATCTCTTACCTCTTCAACCTGTACATCCACCACTATAATCCATATCAATGTCACCTTCTGAAAGATAACTACTTGAAGACTACAGATGCCATGCTCTAGCATACCCTCCTGTTAGTCTAAACTGGAGTTTCCTCAAAGCCAAGCTCAACTGTAAAAGCTTCTTAGAATCTCTCTTTTAAAAAAAGTCCTGTGTTCCCTAAGTCTTTACACCTGCTGTTCATTGAAGACAATTTGCATATAATGATAGGTTCTCATCACTCTTGAATGGAAATCTATGTTACTAAAGAACTAACCTGGATCGTGGGAATTATAAACTTTCTAATTCTCAATAAATTGAGAGTCTTAACAATTTCTAAATATTCTATATCATTTGCATGAGAAATTGATTCCATATGCAATAAATATGTCACTAAAATAAACATCCCAATTTCACCAAAAAAAAAAAAAAGTGAGTGAGTGAGTGAGTGAGTGAATGAGTGAATGAGTAGGAGTTCCCACAAATATGAACTAGCAAGTCAAGATCCCTTGTACCTTTTCCATTTTAATCAGGAAATGGTCAATAAAGTCCTGAGGGCTACTGAGGTTCAGAGATTCTTGATGCCTTTTGATTTCCTTCAAAATAGACTTGTTATGTTCAGCCTCGTTTTTAAGGAATGTTTTATGGATTCCTGGGAGAGTGTATAAAGCAGGATAGATATTGCACAGCTGGAAGAGAAACAAACTTGTATTAGGGTAAACAGCACACATTCTAGGCCTTGGTTATCTGTCCAACACTTCGTAAAGGTACGTTTCACATGTCTCCCATTCTCCTATATGCCTAGCATTTGGGGGAGCAGGCACTGCATGGATCAAACGGTCAGAGCAGCCATGTGCACAGTTTGCGAAGCAACTTCAGATCACATTCAACCTCTGACAGCAGATCTTCAAAGGAATGTGTGGGCTAATCCCACTTTCCCTTCTATTCTACTGAGAATTGCGAGATGCAGAATGACTAGTCAAATTCTAAGACCACAAATCAGTGATAGCAGGGATAGAGGTGGTCTTTATCTCAGTTTATCCTGCACACCTAAAAACTGCAATTCCAAGAGACATGATAACATGGAAGGGAGAAATCTCATGAGATTCCACTGTTAGGTGAGTAAGGACTGCTGGAAGAGAGAAGATATGTGTTCTCTGGGGATGTCTCCTAACACCATGTGGTCTCCCTAAGGTCATATCCATATAAGCAACACTAACTGAATCAGGGGGCTATATTTATATATTGGGGTGTGTATGTATTCTTAATGAAAAAGAGACCTTGAATTTGAATGAAAGCAAGGGGGCAGGTACATGGGAGCAGCTGAAGAGGAAAAAAGAAAGGAGGAAATGATGTGATTATAATCTCGTTAGTTATTCACTAAATGGAGGATGTTTTCTTTTTCTTGATCGCCTAATTAATGCTTATATGAATGCCTAATTTTCAAATGATGTGTATATATGTAATTTCAAAGTATAACTAGTGGCTAGCTGTTTAAAAAATTATTTTTTTAATTCGGAGAAACAGTATGAAGTAGGGACATTCTATACTCAACTACCATCTTATTATAAATGAGAGTGAAATAGTCAACAGATCCTTTGTATCTGTCATAAATTCCAGAGTGATGGCACCTAGGCTTTGAAGCAACCTTTTGTAAATAGTGGCTATCTGAGTGGCTCTCCCTGAAGGAATTTCAGAGCCTTCTCATATCTTAGTCTACAGATATTCCTGGTGAACCAAGAAGTCTCATATGACTGATAATTTCCTAGGTAATGGTTCCTTCAGACAACTCATAGACCAGATAAACAGTTTGGGCATGAAGAAATTGGCGTGCTAAAAAGTGCCTTTCATGTAGCAATAAAGAGGTTTCTGTGAATCTGCTAGGTGTTAAGTTCATCAGAAGCTGATACCCCTGCTGCTAGCAAAAGCTGAATTACATTCTGAAGTGACTGTCTTTCTTCCATCTACTCAAACCATAAAGGACACCTAACCTACATACAGTATCTAAAGTCGTGGGACTGGGAGGAAAGAGCAACCCAGATCCTGGAGCGATATTATGCTCACGTAAGTGAGACTCCAGGACTGGAGGTAATGATTTCTCAGGGAAGGGGGACTCCAGGATTTGACAGGGTACCTGGGAATTCCCCCCAACTCAGTAGTGGCAATATGTACAGTTGTTAAAAGGAGAAGTAATGGGAGATGACATTCTATAAATATGATTCTCTTATTGGTTAATGAATAAAGCCCTGTTGACCAATAGGAAAGCAAGATAGGTGGGACTAGGAGAGGTGGAGGATTCTAGGAAACATAGTGAAATTGAGATGTGATCTCAGGAAGAGAGAATGAGAGTCTGGTGTTCTCAGTAAGATAAGACCATGTAGAAATACATATATTAGTGATTATGTGTTAATATTTAAGACAGAGATATCCAATAAAAAACACTAGTAACTGGCCAATAGTTTTATAATAATACATTGTCTCTGTGTGTTATTTTGGGACTGATGCGGCTGTGGGACCAGGCTGGCGGGAAACTGCTTGTAACAGAGAAGTATTTACTGCACATTTGCAAATGTTACAGATACAAATAGAATGGCTCCTAAGACAAAGAAAAAAATCAAGGGAAGTGCCTTTCCTGGTAGAAAAAGGGGAAGTGTTTCATTAAGAAAAAGGATTTTCCTAATAGAAGAAAGGAAAATGTTTAATCAAGGCCTGCAAATAGAAAGCCTCAAGAAACAAAACAAAACAAAACAAAAAAAATTTAGAGGAAAAAAAAGGCTCTTCCTTATAGAAAAAAATGAAAGTAGTTATTATTTGGAATCCTGCAGAGATGACAGATCTAAAGTGGCTTAAAAACTAACATTTGCATTCTTACCACAAGGACATTTGTTCAGCTCTGTTCATGGCAGCATTATTCGTAATAGTCAGAACCTGGAATCAACCTAGATGCCCCTCAACCAAAGAATGGATAAAGAAGATGTGGTACATTTACACAATGGAGTATTGTACCCACACTGAGTTATACAGCTCAAAAGTTTAAACTCACTATTATCAGTCAGCTTTTATTAAATGTTTCTAGCCTATTGAATAGTCTCACTGATTCTGCTATTTAAAACTGGGTGACAGTTTATTGAGTGGACTAAGAAAAACTTTGGTCTCATGGTGATAATAGACAGCAGCTTTGAAACCCCTGTTTGCAACATCCTCATCCAAAATGGGTATCTTTAAAAAAGATCGAAGTTCAGCATTAACTGGCCTCATATACAAATTAACACAAGAAGGAAAGAGATGCTCTGAGAATAGAAAGGAACCTAACTTCAAAGAAAAAGAATGTTGCAGAAGGACTGTGGATGTAGAAAAAATATAGTAGAAGGAAATCTTTGGAATGAGGTACTTGAGAATGGAGACTAGTTAACAAGTTGGAGTGGTTGGAATATGAATAGTTTGAGACAGAAATAAAAAAAAGGAAAAAAACGTATGAATAAGGCTTAATATGTTCCTTCAGCTCAGTTTCCTTGCTCAAATTTTATGTAGTGATATATTCTTTATGATTAAAGCTTGCCTGAGGGTTCAGGAAACAAAGTCAGTCACAAGCTATAGAAGCCAGGCATACACCTTTAATCCCAGCAGCCAGAAGCTGGGAGATGGTGGGACACACCTTTAATTCTAGGACTCAGGATTAAGAGGTAGATGGATCCTGGATGAGTCCAAGGTCATCTAGAGCTGTACAAGAGTGAATCAATCTAAAAGAGAATTATAGCTCACACCTTTAATCCCAACATTAGGAAAGTATATAAGACAGAAGCAAGGTCTCAGAGAGGCCTTAAATGTCACTTCTGCAACGTTGTGCATTATTAGAGTAAGGCCAATGGTCTGGATGCTGGTGAAACTGTTGAGGTCATCGTGAGGCTCACAAGCAATTGATACAAGCAGCAAGACTACACAGTAATTATACAGCCATCATTTCCTCAGATGACTCATCAAAGCCATGGAGGCTTTTTAAACCAATACAAAGGGCATAGTTGGTGTTATAGTCTTAGGAATAAAAGTGGCTGTTCCTAGCTGTAGATTCTTCCTGTAGCTTATTCCTTTCTCTGACTAACTTGGGATTTACTTCCCATAGTTCAACACTATCTGATCATTTACAGGGCACAATTTCTCTCATGCATTTGGAGTTTACTGATTATACTCCTTAGCTATGTGTGAAATCTGTTTTCTTTTCTTTTTTATTTTAATTATTTATTTTTTATTTTACATGTCAATCCCAGTTCCCTTTCCCACTCTCGCTCCCTCCCTCTTACCCTCTCTGCCCCCTCACATGCACCCTGACCACCCATCCCCCCATCCCAATTCCACATGTAGGGCAATGCCATCCAGGAGGGGTCATCTAAATCTGCCATTTGAAGTAGGGACTAGGGCTTCTCTCCTGTCTCTAGGTTAACGCAGTATCCCTCCATGGGGGATGTGTCCGCAAGGTCCTTTTGTGCACCAGGAATACATCCTGGTTCCATTGTCTGAGGTCCCTTAGACTGCTCAGTCCTTCTAGTTGAGACCCATATTCAGGGGGGGCTTGAGTCAGTCCCATGCTGGATTCCCAGCTCTCAGTCTGGGGGCCGTTAGCTCCTCCTTGTTCAGGTCAGCTGTCTCTATGTGTTTCTGCAGCCTGGTCTTGTCCTCTCCCTTTGCATCTGGATTCTAGTTAGACTCAGTGTTTAGTTATGGGTGTTTGCTTCTGTTTCCGACAGGTACTAGATGAGGACTCCATGATGATGGATAAGTTAGTTGTTGATCTCACTATCTGGGAAGGGCATTTATGGTAGCCTTTCCACTGATGCTCAAATTGTTAGTTGGTGGCAGTCTTGTAGGTTTCTAGACATTTCTTTAGGTTCAGATTTCTCTTCAAAGCAATAATGGCTCCCTCTTTTATGTTCTCTCTCTCTCTCTCTCTCTCTCTCTCTCTCTCTCTCTCTCTCTCTCTCTCTCTCTCTCTCTCCTGTCTTCTATTCCTACCTGACTCAATCTTATATGTGCTTTCCTCTCCTCCCCTTCTGTTACTCCCAACTTCTCTCTCCTTTCACTGCCCCCCCACTTCCCATGTGCTCTGGGGGACTTGTCCCTTCCTCCTTCTGTGAGGGACTTTATATGAATCTCTTAGCATAAACCTTGTATCCTAGTTCCTCTGGTGATCCTTTGCTCTAGGTCTAAAACCCATTTATGAGTGAGTACATACCATGTTCCTCTTTTTGTGACTGGGTTACCCTGTGTTCTAATACTAGGTCTTAGTTTACTGTTTCCACTCCTTAGCTATGTGTGAGACCTGTTTCCCACTATCAATTCCTTGTTCCTCTTTCCTGTGTAATTACAGAGATCTGCCTTCCTGCAATTATCCTTATTGGCAGGCATTCGGTCAGTATTTAGGGTCCAGGCAAAAGCATCTCATCTAAGACATTCTTAGATATCCAAGGACATAGAGTTAAGCATGCCCTGGTTTTACCTCACTGGCAGATAGAGAAGAATAACCTAAACTAACCCTGCACTAAAAGATTCTCAAACTTCTTGTTTTATTGCCCAAGATCTTAGCTCAGAAATTTACTGCTTGTGTTTCCCCTGAGAAGATAAAGACAAAAGTAATCAGCCCATTTGCTCATCCTCAGGAAAAAATAAACTTTACTGAAGGCCTGTGCTGCCACTGAGACCAGACCACTGGAAGGGCCAGGTTCCGTTTCGTGTGCAAATTAAACTTAGACTTACAGCCCTAAGCAATTAATGGTAAAAGTTTCTCCTAGCAGGAAATCAGAGCGAAAATGCAGACAGCAGACCAAAAGCTGCTTGCCTACATTCGTCTGTTGTTTACTAGGTTGCCTGTTTACCCAATACTCCCTATGCATGCTGGGAGAAAAGAGGCTACTGAGTTAAGAGACAATCTTGGCCTTACTTGTGATTTTTACTGAATATAAACTTTTAGCTTTTTATCTAACCACTTAAAATGTAGTTTAGCACACTAGTCTCCCTTTCTAGAATTCCCTGATGATTCAATCTCTGAACTAATCTTCTTCCCCCTAAAGGAGTTCATAGGATGTTCACTAGCCACTCTCTTTGAGCTGGCAGCCAGAACCCTATGTGAAGATCCTTATCTGTCTCCTACCAGGCAAAAGAATTCCAGCCCCAGATTCCAACTAGGGCTGGAAAATTGCTAGTGGTAATGATTTATAACTGGGAACATTTTGTTGCTGAATGAAGACATGGACAGAAAGATCATGTTGTAAGTAGATTCTTTTTTCCCTCTGATTTTGTGCCCCCCCACGAGCAAAGATTTTAGAAGCTCACTGGACGAGTACTATTAAGAACTTGTCTGATGATTGATTGGGCTGATCATTGCTGTACTTATGAGAACTATTGTATCAAATGCTACTGCCGCTATGGCTGAACTGGTGCGCCATAAAGAAATTCAAACTGCTGAGTTCATTAATCAAGCACATATCGTCATTACAGCAGCTCAGGAGGCAGAATCAGAAAGATTATGAGTTCAAGGCTAGCCTGGGCTATAGAATGGAGAGGAAGGGAGAGGAGGGAGGAGGAAAGAAAATACTCAAAGAGGAAGATTCTCAAAAAAACCAGGACAGCTAGAAGAATGTACAAGTCAGGGCATAGCCTTCTTACTGCACCCTACACCCAGCAAAAGTCCTTTCATTTCCCCAAATTCACACAAACGGCCTCTTTTTGAAGTTGAAAACTACCCACATCTTCTCAGAATGCCACCTCTCCAATTAATGTGATATTAGACATACAAAGTCCATAGCCTCAATATTGGCCTTTGGATGGTAATGGTATAGATTTGGGTTACATAACATTTTCACATATAAATAGAACTGGATCTCACCTGAATCCAAGGTGATTCTAAAAATTTAATAGTTCTATAAAAATGCTCTGTGGTCTTTTGGAATATTCCATCACTGTAGTCAAAACGTTGCTGGAAAATAACAGCAGAGATCACATTGCAGGGAACACAGGCCAGAAGGAAGCTAGGGTCACAAGGGGATCCTAAAAAAAAAAAAAAAAAAAAAAAAAAAGGAAGTTGAGAGTTAGAAATATACAATACTCATGCAGATCATAAACTTTCAAATTCAAACAGTTGGGAGTATGAGCTACCTAGAGAAAACTCATCACTGTGACCTCTACAAGCCCAAGAGACACTTTATTCTCTGTCCCCCAAATAAATTATCTGATTGCTCCATCTAATGTGCAGTGTACACATACCCTCTTCACCAATCTCTTGAAGTTCTCATTCTAAAGAGTTCTCATTTTAAAATATTTACAAATGTATGCAGTTTAAACCTATGTGTGAACAGTTCCTCACAGTACATATACAAATCTTACTAACTTAGTTTTTCAATTTCCTTTCTTCTAAAAACATTGATAATACATTTTATTAAATCCCAAACATTCAAAGCATCCAATGTGTGCGAAATATTTTAAACTTATGAATGAGATAGTCACAAGCAAATCCATGGTACATCTTGTATTTGCAGCTCATCTACCTTCACAGTGTCCCAGGCAGTTCCATGAAAATGAGGGCTCCACAATTTCCTAAAGAATATCGAAGTGCATGTTGTGGAGGTTGACACAAAGCTGAACTGAGGGCATGTAAGCTGAGATCTGCTATGCAGAAAGAAACACAGTCCCTTCTATTTGTGGGAAAGCTGAGATAGCAAGTCAGTGCCTTCTGGTATTAGAGGAAGTAAAAATATCAAATTGTAATTATCTTCTAAATACAAATCTCGATTCATTTTTTAAATAATTTCTAACTACGTCATGAGTGTTTATCCTGATAATTCACAGAAGAAGTTTCTTTTTCAACAGATGGAGAATATTCAGATATCTACAACTGGTCAAAAGGCAGAGAATAAGTGGTCATGGGGTACCCAACCCTCCCTGAGACATCTGCAATGCAGCCTATACACCTAAGGCCCAGGGAAAATCGTGGGAAAGGAAGAGAAGAGAGTGGTATGAGCCAGAAGACAAGGACACCCGCTGCTAAAGAGTATCCCAAACATGATATGAAAATGCTGCCATGCATTCTCAACAATATGGTTGCCCGAATAAAAACAGCATAATGATACCAGTTGACATGGCAACCAGGACAGGGGAAATTCCTGGATAAATTTGAATTTCCATATTGATTAAGAGATTGGTATAGGCTGAGTATTCCCTATGTTGGACCAGTTTAGAAGCAATCAATGACTTCTGAGAGATGGAGAATCATTCCTCCAAGGAAAAATTCCCAGAGGTTGTCCAATCCCGAGTATCCAGCTCTGGACACATGTACATACAAGCAATGCTAAATAGACTAAGTAGGTTGTGTATACATGTATGCATATGTGTGTGTGCATATATATGTGTGTAACAATAATTACAAAAGAAGAGATCATGAATTGGGGAAGGCTGTGGAAATGATGGAGACTAGGATTTGTGTATCAAGTTCTCAAAAAAAAAAGAGTTTTAAGTTTGATTACCAATCCAGCATGAAATAATGACATCAGTAATTTTTTTGGTGGGGGCGGGAGACCAATAGATAGAGGAAACCTGCAACTACATTTAGGATAATTCAAATGCTTTTCTTGTGTAAGGCTGACAGAAAGTACAAGAATAGTCACATGTTTGAAAGTATACATGGTATTTTAGAGAATTTACTAAAAGGGGTAATGCGTGTATTACCAGATCTTAGGTTCATCCCTTACTCATCCTTTTGCACCCACATGTGGACACATGGACTAAAAAGTCCAGTGTACTTTCCTTTACTACAAGCAGGACATTCAACCCATGCTAGCCTTGGCTAACACAGGGACTCCTCATCCTAGACCCACCTCTTAATCAATATTAAATTCAAAGCACCAACCTTCCCCTGATCTCTCACACCATTTTTAGACCAACTAAGACATCACCCTGATCTCCAGAAAGAATTAACATGTGACTAATGAAACCATGTATGTGCTGTCAAGCCTGTGGCACCTGCACAGTGCCTCTGTATGGTGTCAACCATACTACAACCTCAGAGGGAAACAAGAAATTATGTCTAAAGATAAAAGTTAGTGCCTGGCAGTGGTGGTACACACCTTTAACCCCAGCAGTAGTAAGGCAGAGGCAGGTACATCTCTGTGAGTTCAAGGCAAGCCTGGTCTACAGAGTGAGTTCCAGGACAGCCACAACTACACAGAGAAACCCTGTCTTGAAAGAAAAACAACAAAAAATGTTACAAAGACAACATGTCTTAGCAACTTATAAAGAAAACTTCCAGGGTTTTGCATTATGCAGTGAAGAAATGGCATAACTAAGGATGTGAGGTTCAATGGAGAGGTGGGATGAAGCCAAGTGTGAACAAATGAGGGTCAGGAGTTGATAAAAAGTCATAATCAAGTATAAATCTCCCTGGTCTTTCACACCCATTTTCAGACAAGACATATATTTCATATGTGTGTGTGTGTGTGTGTGTGTGTGTGTGTGTGTGTGCAAAATCACTTCCCATATATGCATAACCCCAACACATTGTTTTACTTACTCTAATCTAAAATTATTACTTTTGTATGGTGGAGAACACTTATTATAGATAAAAGGGGAAACGCAGTCAGAGACTGGGATGTCTGGGATTGTCCCAGAGGGAATATGGCCCTGAGCCAGGCCATGTGAAAGGCAGGTGAGGGGGTGAACCAGCAGAGTAAAAGGCAGACAAATATGGCTAGATTGTATAAAGAAGGGCAGCTTGTGGAAGAGCAGCCCAGCCCCTGGCTGGAGAAGTTTATGGTAGGGACCAGGATATGCCAGCCTTACCCTGTAACAGGTAGGCACTGATGGATGCTAAGAAAACTTGGTGGCCAGGTCTGCTTTAATATATCAAATAGGCCCCTCTGTTAGCCATTGTTCCAGACCTGAGACTTAACATCTCACCCTCTTTGTTGATAATAAATGGCTAGGGATGATATACTTTTTCTATGACTACTTGTTGATATTGGAGCTTCTTTGTAGAGAAATCTGGAGTGTTTTCCAAGGCTGAGAAGAAAGAGAGAGGAGTGCAGGCTGTTTCACTTGGTATCCAGGCTCTGCTGGGACTAGGGAGATGCAGGCTGCTTTGGAACAGCTCTGGAAGTAGGGTCACCTGTGGCTAGCCACTTTGGAGTCATCTAAAATTCAGATTCTGAGGTAACACCTGGGGCTATCAAATTGGTGGCACACTCTGAAGGTGATTTGAAATCTTTTAGGACAGATAAGCTAGGGACAGAAGGTAAAGTTAAGGAGTTTAGGGGAAAGTTTTTGCCAGGGTGTATATTTGAAACTTTCAGGCCCATAGTCCTGGTAGTTGGGAGAAGGGAATCCCAAGACCAGAGAAAGGGGGTGAGATCTCACCCTTAGGGATAGACAGGGGGAAAACTTAGAGTACTTATCTGGACTTCATTTGACCTGTGAGAGGCAGATCCAAGTCAAATCCCTAAAACTTAAAGAATTTTTTAAGTTAACAAAAAGAGATTAAAGTTTTAGTTATGTTAGCATTACCACTGTTTGTAATCTACACTGAAATCCACTATTAACCCCGCCAGTTGAGAACAAGATGACCACCACAGTTAAAAGCCAGATTTGAAACAAGCTTTAATTAAATACTGGCCAGAAAACAACCTAGATGTCCCTCAGCTGAAGAATGGATAAGGAAAATGTGGTACATTTACACAATTGAGTACTACTAGGTAGTTAAAAAAAAAAAAAAGATGACCTCATGAAATTTTCAGGCAAATGGACAAATGGACAGAATAGACAGAACTAAAAAACATCCTGAGTGAGGTAACCCAGGCCCAGAAAGACAAACATGTTATGTGCTCACTCATAAGTACTTTTACACAATGGAGTACTCCTCAGTGGATGATCATAATGGCGAAATTCTACCGAAACAGCTGAATCAAGCTGGTAGAAACTCATGAACTCTAGACATACAACTGTGGAGACTCCAGGGGACTGAACTAGGCCCTGAGACAGTTATGAAGTTTGGACTATCAGAGGGGCCCCTGGCAGTAGGACCACAATACAAACCTACTACATGAGAAAGCTTGTTGGAGCCCATTCCCTATGGTGGGATGCTATGCTCAGTCATAATGCATGGGAGAGGAACCTGATCCTGATCCAACCTATTGTACCACACTGTGTTGACTCTACATGGGAACTCTTGCCTGTGAGAAAGTGTGGACTGGGGATGACCTGGGGATGTGATGGGGGGATGGGAGGAGGCAAGAGGGTGGGATGAGGGGTAGGAGGGAGAACTGTGGTTATAATGTAAAATGAATTTTTAAAAAATTAAAAATGGAAATAAGTAAATACTGGCCAGGTGGATGAGCTCTGGCCAGGTCAATACCCAGGTTCCTAGGAAATGGCCACAAATCAAGTTTTGCAGGGGCTTAAGAAGGTAAAACTCATAATTCATCACATTTCCCATGAGGCCCAATCAGGGGCAAGCATATATCCTGAGGTGCTTCCTGCCTGCATATTTTCTGCCTACATCCAATCAAAGGCAAGAGTACATTTTGACACACTTTCTGCCCATGTACCTCCCACCTGTGTGGTCAAGTACATCTGATATGGATGGGGCAAACAAATTTGTTTAGGGGAGTGATAACATGACTTGTTGTCTTACATGAACAATAGCCTTCAGCATTTCAGAAACTATTTGTCCTTGCATAAGGGGTTTGCAGATCAAAGGTATTTTTGTTACATGGATCTCTTAGATATAGTAATTAAAACTTAAAATGTAACTGACTCACACCACATAAGTAGATAAGGCAGTAGACTCATGCCTTTGAGTCATAGTAAAAGGCTAGGGATCCAATAAGGATTCTGAGTTAAAAGAATTAACACTCTTTCCAGAAGGCTGGATATATAGATTGGACAGAAATATGTCTAGCACCATCAAAAGCATTTTTAAGGTCTTGACTTGGGCAGGAAGCTTGACATCAGGGTCAAAAGAGCCCCCAATCTCTCCATTTTCCTCTCTCTTCCCATCCCCCCACTCCCTTCCCTTCCCCAATAAAACTTCCCATGTAAGCTGTCTGCATGTCATGTTTGTCCCTCACCTGCCATGAAGCTCCCCATAAAGGACCCTCTGACAACCCATTACAACACTATCTAGAAGCTTGGTGTTGAGCAAGGACATAAGTAGTTAAATATACACCTCTAAGTTAGTTTCTTTAACCTATGTATATCTTTATAACTTGAGGAGTTTTTTCATTATACAAAAACTTACCCTAATACAAGCTATTTTGGAGACTTGCCATTGCTTCCTTAGTCTAAAAAGAGATTCAACAATAAACTATGAGCTCAGTGGGACTGAGAAACTTTTTGAGTGTTTCCTTACTTGGTTTATACCATATGGTCACCTAATCAAAATGGTGGTGAAGTTACATGGCATGTACCCTTTAACCTTAGTAACAATGACTACCAGCCATACGGCTATATTTAAAAGATCTATTTTTTAGATCTGTTTTTAAACAAGAGTTGAATTTGGCTTCCTATACAACATTTTAAGCAAGAGTTGACTCACATCAATACTAAGTTGTAGCAAACATTACCCATGTACAGATTTTTTTAATAATAGACCTTTTGTTATAAGTTTTAAGCCAAAGTTGGTACAGATTTTATAGATTTTTTTTTTACCATAGCCAATGAATTTACAAATTCACACCTTTAATCCCAGCACTCGGGAGGCAAAAGCAGTAGGATCTCTATGAGTTTGAGGTGAACCTGATCTATAGAGTTCCAGGACATCTTGGGCTACACAAAGAAACCCTGTCTCAAAAAAAGAAAGGAAGGAAGGAAGGAAGGAAGGAAGGAAGGAAGGAAGGAAGGAAGGAAGGATACAACTGAGATACAGTTTACTACATAGTTTTAAGGGATTTTTTTTAAGTAGAGAGCAGAGAAATTGTAGAGAAAATATTTTTAAAACTGGGAAGTAGAAGAACCTGGGAGATGAGAGACTTTGGGAAATGTAGAGCAGGGCAAGTTTAGTTACAAGAGATTTGGGATCATTTGTTTGCACAGTAGCAGAAGTTGTTACCCTATGAGAGAATTTTAAAATTAAGCTAATCTTTGGTCATTGATCGTCACTGAGGCCAAGCTGTTTGTAGTGCCAGAGAGAAGCATCCCTTCCAATGTGATCAGGGCCCAAGCAGGGTGAAAGCAGCTTTCTGGCATACTGATGTGACTTTTGTAATAGCAGGCAGCTCAGGATGACACTTACCTAGTATTGAGAAATGAAAGAGCTGGGCAGGGGGGACAAGACAGTAAATCCTTAATAGAGATACCCAGAAAGGCGTAGCAGGACAGAGACAAGGGATGCAAGATGAGCTCCCAGGCAGGTGCCTCGGGAGGGTGTGTAGCCCTGTCTGTCTTGGAACTCAATTTTAGACCAAACTGACCTCAAACTCACAGAGATCTGCCTGTTTGGCCTCCCCAGTGCTGGGATTAAAGCAAGGTCCACCACCTCCCAGGGTTAATGAATGGCGTTCTTAGAAACATTTAGATACGGAAGTTCTAAAGCCATGTATCTCTTGTGACCCTGACTTGATCACCTTCTACCTGCTCTCCTGCCCACTCTTTCTCCTCCCCCATGCCCCATACCTAATGTGCACACACATTTATGCACTGAGATTTGTACTGAGGCAGCTCTATCATTTCATACTTTCCCATGTGAATTATTGTACCTGACACATCAGACAATTTGGTCACCCTGTAATGTTTCTCAAAAAGTCACCAGACAGCTTTCTTACTTAGTTTCCTTCCAGTGAACATAGCTGCTCACTTTTTCTCCCTCCTCGGGCAGGTAAATGTCCGGTCCTAAATAGAGCCTGCCAGTGTGAGTTGAATTTCCTGTGCCACTTTCATGACCATTTAAAAAAAATCCTATTTTCTGTAGCTCTCTCTTCTTCCATAATCATATGAAAACCAGAACCATGGATAATACTGAAAGCTAATTGGGTGAAAGTTGGCAAGCCTGGGTTCCTGGGAAGGTAGGCAGCATAACTACATCATTTCTTGCTGTTATCCTGTGATCATAACAACCTACAACTATACTTCTGACTCCGTGGCTTTTTTTTTTTTAAACAGTTCATCTTGCCCATCTAGTAATTATAGAAATAGATATACACCATTTGTCTTCCTCAGTTCTTCCAAGAGATAAAGGACTTCCTCCTGAATTCGGTCTTCAATAGTCTTCTTCCCCATCCCCATAGACCGTAAGACCATGAGGGAAAAACGCCGTGTTTGCTTCCACATTTCTCCATTGCTGAAAGTGATGCCTGCTGGGACAAAAATTTATCATGAATTCTAATTTAAAGTGTCCTTCACAGAAAGTCATACTGACTCTCGTGCTTGCTTCAACTTTGCATGGATCGTGTGATCTGTGCATCTGGAAAGTTCAACATAAATTCTCTAAACTCAAAACATGATTAAAATAAGCCCTCGAAAAATGATTTGCCAAGGAATTTTTAGACAACAATGTAGACAAGCAAAAGCTCACATGTCGCTTTTGCCAGCACTCAGTGCTCCATGAGAAAACAAGACAGCTTTATACTAAACTCAAAATCAATAACTAACATACAGTTGATTTCCAGCTATCGGTGTTGTGTTTCAACTTCTGGTTTCTCTGCTACGAATGAGTAGAAAATAGCTACATGATCAGTGTAAACTATAATATGAATATTAAATGCTCCTCTTTTCTTAGGTTATTACATGTATTATAATATGCCCTCCTAATCTTGGGCAGCAAAGACAGACCTCATAATCAGCCATGCAACCATGGAATACAATAACCTATACTTAACCTACACTTGGCCATATGGCAGTGTGCCATATGAAGCCATGGTGTTTATTAGGTTAACTATGCTAAGTATGTTTTCAGCTTTAGGCTAGTTGAAGCTTAGAAGGGTTTGCAAGGATGTGATCTCACTGTGACCTGAGAAACTTCTGAACTTAAGTTTTAATACCATTTCCAATTGGTGGAAATGGTTTGGGTGGGGGACAGGGACCATTTCTGCCACTGTCAACCTTCCTGGGTTTCCTGTAGTTCTGTGTGTACTACTGAGGCCTTACAGGCTTCTCCCCATCTGCTTTGGCATGTCTATTGGTGTCATCCTTTTTTGCCTCATGTTTGGGAAGCCGTGCAGGTGAGACTTACGGGTATAGCTTCTGACACTATTAAGAGACACATTCTCACAGCAAATTCCCTGAACCTGTGACTCTTACAATCTTTCTAGTCCCTCTCCACAATGTTTCCTAAGTCTTAGATGCAGGAATATTTTGTTTCCATTAGAACTGGATTCCACAACTCTGAATATTGACAGGTTATTCAATACCAAATGGCTAGCCCTGAAAATATACATACACACATTATACAAACTTTGCAGGTTGTATTTGGGAATATATATATAAACAATTACTGGAAAAATGAGGCAATTAATTTGAAAAACAGCAAGGAGAGGTATACAGGATGGCTTATAGGGAGGAATGGAAAGGGAGAGATGGTGCAATTATGTTATTATAATCTCAAAAATAATTTAAAAGAAAAAAGTGTTTCCAGTATCAGTGCAGTACACAAACACTGAGTGTCCCTGTGGCTCTCGTAGAGAGATCATGGCTTTGCTTTCTTTCCCATTCCATTATAGTCAAGTATTGCTTACAATTTTTAAAGATAAAAGACAGGATGCAAGTCTGGAAAAAGTCCTATCTATACTGGTCTGCACACTATACATATTTATAAAATCATCTATATCCATGCTCAGGCCATGAGAATATTTGGTGACTAGTATATTTTGTCACTTTCATTTCCTTTCTTTGTCTTGGTATCTTTATCATTATGTTTCTGGCTGTAATACACAATGAGTATGTCGTAGTCAGAAAGAAGTTCACATTTAATGCTTCATGGGGACATTGTGTGTAAAATTAATCCATTTTGAAAATGGATTAATGATCCCTTTTCATTAATGAACACTAGAGGTCAGGACAGGGAAGGGAAATGTGAGTAAAAGGAGGCAAATTCGTCAGTAGGCACTCTATCTGTTTACTGTTTGCCACACCAAATGTCACTAAAATCCACTAATGCATGTAAATCCAAATTTACCCAACCATAAAGAAAATGAAATCACATTTACAGGGTACACTGGGTTGTTTTGTGTTTCCACTTGACACAAGTTAGAGTCATCAAAGAAGAAGGAGCCTCAGTTGAGGAAATGCTTCCATGAGATCCAGCTGTAAGGCATTTTCTCAATCATTGAGGGACGGCCCAGCCCATGATGGGGTGGTACCACCCCTGGGCAGTTGGTCCTGGGTTTTCTAAGAAAGCTGGCTGAGCAACCCATGAGAAACACGCCAGTAAGCAGCACCTCCCAATAGTTTTTGCATCAGCTCCAGCCTCTAGGATCCTGCCCTGTTTGAGTTCCTATAACAAATAAATTCTTTCCTCCCCAACTTGCTTTTGGTCATACTATATCAATAGAAACCCTAAGACAGAGGAAATGGATGAAACTGTAAATTATTTGTTTCACGTAAAGGAAGCCAGATTCTTAAAAACAAATACAGCAATTTTCTGTTATATAAACAGAGAGGAGAGAGAGAGAGACAGAGAGTCCCAACAAGGAGCCATACCTAACCCTGGGTTGACTCTGCTGATTAAGGATGATTGCATTTTCCCAGAAAACTCATCTCCCCGGTCAATCAGAGCTTCCTTCAATGCTTCGTATCCATACAGCACCACTGTGGGCTTCATGCCCAGATACACGGTGAACACGGGGCCATATTCTTTTGCTAGCTGGAAACAGAGCACAGGTGATCATAGAGGGAAATATTTTCATTCATACTGAAGAAACATTTTAATATTCACACATTCATTGACTTTACGTCTAGTAATTTCACAAGAAACAACAGTTAAACACCTGTTGTCATTATGCTCCTGTCAACGTTGTTGTTACTAATCTTCTTCTACGCTACAGAGACTGTGAAACACATTTGCTCAAAATTTACTGTTTTGTTTTTCTGTCAAATCTACATTTGCATTGCATTTCTTTTCCAGCCTACTCTCCCTGAGTATGGGACATCTCTACCAATTATCCTACTTGTACATTCCTCATCGTCTCCTGTCATCAGTTCTCCATGTCATCTCTTCTGCTGAGGTTTTAACAGTAGTGAGGACACAGCAGGATGGGCATGCCTGCTCTCCGCAATGTACCTTTTACAAGGCTTTATACATTCTAACCACCCTTAGAATTATTGATCACTGTTGAATGTAAACACAGTCAACTAACCTGGGTGGAATCATTGTGTATTAAAGAAATAGAAATTAAATCTCAGGGAGATTTTAAAACTTGTCACAAGCTGTGAGTTAACTCAAAACACCCAGTCCCAAATGGAGGAGCTGTGCAGGCGAGAGAGCTTTAAGTGATGGCCGTCTCAGGGAAAAGACAGGTCAGGTTTCAGGGAAAGTTGCCATGTGGATCCACTACAGATCAGTCATTGATTCGTTATCCAGAAAATACGGTAAGAACTCTCAAAATTCCTGGGTCTCTTAATTGTGCCCTTGATTTCAAATCAATGTGTACTCTAGGAAAATGTACACTTGAGAACTTAGAAATCAATAGAGTTTCGTAACTGAACACAGTTCTATCTGTACTGCAGTTCATCAGAGAATAGTTGATGTACTTAAAGAGGACGTAGGACAGGGCATGAACACAAACTAGTCTGTTTCTGACAGTATCACAAATCTCCTCCTGGATCCCATTGCCTTCTAGCTCTTAGTAGAGCACAGATTTAGAAGCTGGCTTGGGTTTCCTTTAAAATATTCCCTTTTATTCTTTGGCTGGGGAGATGGTTCCATGTATAAAGCACTTGCTGTGTGCATATAAAGCCAGAAAATCACACACACACACATGTAATCCAATCTCTCCCACAACAACAAAGGAGACATTGAAAGACTTTAGTTTTCAAAGAAAAAAAAAAGATAAGTTTCTCACAGGTCTTGTCCCACAACAAGGAAATAGACCCCAACCCTGGAACAAATGGTTCCAGATGACAAGCCCTGTCTGGGTCACTCCTGGACAAGGGAAAGTCTGGTTCCAAGTTTCCAAGGTACTTTCTGTGGTTTTTCCTTTGAAGAAATCAGGTCACACCTGGGTGATCTCTCAAACATGAGATCATACTTTGTAATCAGTCACCTTGTGCCCCATGCATGTATGCTGATTTGCAGTCTTTCTCTATAAAAAAGAGTCTGAAAACTCTGAGGGGTGTGCAGCTTTCCCCGAGATTGCTGACGCCGGAGTGCGTCTATAAATCCTGTCCAAAGAAATTCAATGGTTAGACTGGGGCTGGGAATTCTATCTTTAGTATACTTTGATCTGTATAAACAAAACTGCTATTTGTTTGCCATTTCAACACAGCTCTCCCTTCTTTAAAGTATGGCATTGGTGGCTGGTTTTTTTCTTTCTTTTTTGTTTTTATTCATTCGTCGTCTCCCATACAATACATTCTGACCACTGCCTCCCTCCATCTACTTCTTCTAGTCCCCACCACCACCTGCTCTCTCTCCCAAATCCACAGCCCCTCTGTTTCCCTTCAGTAAAGAGCAGGCCTCCCAGGGATAGCAATCCAACACAGCATAACAAGACACAATAAGATTAGGCGCAAAGCCTCATATCAAGAATGGACAGGGCATCCCATTAAGAGGAAAGGGGGCCCAAGAGCAAGCAAAAGAATCATACTTCAGTCTCTACAAGCCCTGCTTAGTTCTCCTGGTGTCTTCAACACCTCTTTTTTTGACAATACTTCCTCTCTGTCTTCCTCAGGTTTCTCCAAGCTCTGCCCAAAGTTTGGCTGTGGGACTATGCATCTGCTAACGTCAGTATTTAGAAGACTCTGGGATGATGACTGAGCTAGGCACCAATCTATGAGTTTCACTGACTTTTTTGGCTGGTTGCATTTGGTTCTTCCTTAGGTCTCTGAGCTGTCCAGCAACTCCAACTTGCAGTATATGTGATGAATGTTGATTTTCACCTTACAAGTAAATAAAAAACAGAGAGATGTAACAAAATATAGCAGCCTTACAGTTTTCTCAATAGGGAATATTTGATGTGCCAAAATTAATTTTTTTGTGTGTGAGCCTGGAAGATCTACAGAATAAAAGAAATGATAATGATCGGGCAGCCTACTTTAACTGGAATTTAGAAGCATCTAAGAGAATAAATGATAAAATCTCTAACTCACAAGAAATAAATCAGTTTTGAATCTGTATCAGATTTACAGAAAGATATGGAAGGATAGATTGGTATGAAATCTTAGCAATTGTGTGAAAAACTAAAGTTAGTCTACAGAATTTTACTTTGTCAAGCCCTCTGTCTCTCTCTCTTTCTCTCTCTCTCTCTTTCTCTTCCTCTCTCTCTTTATACCTCTTTGGTCAACAACTTAATTAAATGCAACCCAATCCCAGTACTGGGAGCTTCATTTGGTGACAAAAGATGCCCAGTTTAGTCTTTATCTCCCCCATTATTTGCCGATCTCATTTAGATCACCATTATATATATTTTTATTGGTTTCCATACTATCACTCAAACTTCCCTAACTTTTAGGTGTTTGTCCCTGTATTCTCTCCCTCAACCCTCTCCTCTACTCCACTTATCCTCCTCTTCCAGCAACCATTATTCCTTCAAAATTATCTACTCTATTTCCTTTTCCTAGCAAGATATATCTGTACCCTAGTCCCTTACTCTATACTTACCTTCTGTGGTTCTAGGAATTATAGCTTTGTTACCATAGACCAGAGCACATATAAGTGAATGCATACCATATTTGTATTTCTGGATCTGGGAAACTGCAGTCAGTATGATTTTTTTTTCTAACTCCGTCATTTGCCTGCAAATTTCATGGCGTCATTTTTTTACTTATTTTTTTTAATTTTTCTTTTTTTACATATCAATCCCAGTTCCCTCTCCATCCCTCCCTCTCTTCCACCCTCCCATGCTCCCTGAACACCCTCCCATCCCATCCCACCCCCCCATGATGTCATTTTTTTAATGGCTGAGTAATTCTCCATTGTATAAGTTTACCACTTTTTTTTTTGGAGTCTTTGATTTTTTTTTTCTTTTTTTAAATTTAAACTTGAAACAAGGATGTTTTACATGTCGATCCCAGTTATCTTACCCTCCCATCCTCCCCTATCACCAAACCCTAGCCCATCCCCTTCCTGCTCCCCAGGGAAGGTGAAGCCTTTCATGGGGAATCTTCAAAGTCTGTCATATCATTTGGGACAGTGCCTAGGCCCTCCCCTATGTGTCTAGGCTAAGAAAGTATCCCTCTGTGTAGAATGGGCTCCCAAAGTCCATTCGTGTACTAGGGATAAATATTGATCCATTACCAGAGGCCCCATAGACAGAGGCAGAGAGAAAGAGATGATAGTTAAGTGTTCTTCTCTCCCCTCATCAAAGAAGCTTCTTTTTATAGCAGACAAAGGCCATTCAGAAAGTCACAGCTGCTCAAAAAAAGCAGAAAACTACTGACTGTGGGTGTCTAGCCCCAGGTGATATATCTAAAACACGATACCTACATCTAAGGCTCAGAAAACATCAAGGAAGAGAGGGCAGAAAAATTGTAAATTTTTCTGAGGACCAAGAAGTCTATTGCAGAATGGCTAAAATAAAAAACACCAGTGACAGTTTATGATGGAGAGGATATGGGGAAAGGGGAACACTCCTCCACTGTTGGTGGGAGAGCAAACTTGTATAGCCACTTTGGAAATCAGTATGGTGGGTCCTCAGGAAAATGGTAATCCAACAATTGCAGAGGTGGGGGGAGGAAGACATGAGGGACTAGGAAGATTGAGTAAGGGGAAAAAATATAGGAGAGTAAGAAAAGAGATACCTTAATAGAGGGAGCCATTATATGTTTAAAGAGAAATCTGGCACTAGGGAAATGTCCAGAGATATACAAGGATGACCCCAACTAAAAATCTAAGCAAAAGTGGAGAGGCTACCTTAAATGCCCTTCCCCAATAAAGAGAATGATGACTACCTTAAATGCCATCCTAGAGCCTTCATCCAGTAGCTCATGGAAGCAGAAGCAGACACCCACAGCTAAACACTGAGCCAAACTTCTGGAATCCAGTTGCAGAGAGGGAGGAGTGATGAGCAAAAGGGTCAAAACCAAGCTGGAGGATTGGGAGTTTGCTGTGAGATTGTATCTTCTAGTAACATCAGAAGCTATACTTGCGAAGTCTCAACAATATGACTGCCCAGACATAAGCTGAAGAGGGAGAACACCAACAAACATGGCATGCTAAACTTCATGGGGAAAACCCCATCGGGTCTCAACCCCACATAAAAAACTACAGACAGCTGAATAAAACCGGGAGTGGGAGAGGTGCTCCTCCATAGGGAAGAGCACACCAACCACTTGTCCAATGCAGTGGTCAGCCCTGAAAACACACACGCACGCACGCACGCACGCATGCACGCAATAATGTTATATTGACTCAAAATTATATTATAGCAGTAAATAATCTCACATACTGTTTTGTAATATCTTTATAATACCTGTAATACCTTGACTGTCTTTAAAAAAAATGGTCTCCTGCATTGTTTGTTATTTTTAAGCGCTTAAATTCATAATTTTAGAGTTCAGATAAGAAATCAATATGTAACTAAGTTCTAGATCAAGTCTGTATCCCACTCACATGCCCTTTCACCTATTTACATATGATCCTAGGTATATAGAAACACAAAAGATGTATACAGTGCTAACATTTGTTGATAATAAATCGCGGAG